TTAATTACAAAACTTTTGATTAACAACACAAACTTTCTTGTTGTTAGGACAAAAAAGGATTGTAGACCTGAAACATTAAATAGTAAAATTAACAATAACAATGTGACAAATACAATTCATGTTTAACTAGAATCATTGTGTAACGCTTACAATACGAGTGGTCGTCACATATAGAGCAATAAATATTGTAATGGTAACCAGAATATGGTTACACATACCAGAATAATTTTTCCGAGTTTACTCCAAAATAAAATTTTAACTGAATATTAACACGTATATATTAAAAAGGACGCGTCCGCCCATTTTTGTCGCTGACAACATGTTGAATCTATTCAATTTGTTTCTTAGCGAACGTAAGAAGTGGGTATGTTTATGGGAAAATAATTTTATTATTATCAAATAAACAAGTATTTTGAAGGTGTATTGAATGATTTTTCGAATCGATAAAAATATATCAAATGACAATTCGAGCTTTTTCAGGAAGAACATTGTTAGCGTAAAAAAAAAAAACAAAAAATGTCTTTTACAATTTATAAGATCATTTACATTTGCGTATTACTCATTTACTTTGAAGTCAAAAGTTGTATAAAATTCGTTTATGAAATTTGTAAGAAATTGGACATTGTTTAAGTTTTGTTATAGAAACCATATAAACATAACCCTGACAAGTTGGTTATAGAAATGATGAAAACTGTTTATTTTTTATATTCTAACGAATGTAGTATTTTATAGCGGACCAAAACGCACTTAAATAAATGCTTATAATCTCCACTTAATTCCTGGCACTCTGAGATGGGACTCGAACCCATTACTTTCGCAATGCGGGCGATTCTGTACCTGAAATAGTAATATGATGCTGTAACTGCGGAGTTCTTTTATCGATGGCATGCACTACTAATTGTCGAATGTGAGCGGACGCGGGCGCAGGCATCCTCGTCTCCACATAATTGCCGCTCATTGGTTTCTCAAGAGTTCCTAATTGACAAGACGAGGACGTCGGTCCCGAGCCGGCGGCGTCTATCGATCGACAATATGTTCCGACAATTGAACTATCCGTTTTGAACTATATTTCACTGCATACGTGTTTAGACGCAATAAAGAACCAGCTGTAATGCCGTTTTAGACTTTATTTTTAATACCTTTAAGGTTGTTCGACTCTATACAACTGATAAATTAAAACAAGGTTACGAATAATTACGGGCAAACTCAAGTAATTATTATCATTTGATTAGTAATTTCGTTGTCCAGAGACAGGTTTGATAAGAATATTTTTCAATTAAAAAAATATATGTTTGATGTATAAAGTTCCTGAAATTATAAATATTAAAACTGTTTATCTCAACTTTAAAATTAGTTTCAAGTTAGAAGTACTTGCAGGTACTCAATACTCTAAACTCTAAAATATATGAAAAAGCTATGGCTTCTAGATTAAACGACTTTTTATTACAGGTTAATATTTTGCATCAAGATCAATTTGGTTTTCGTAAGGGGAGTAGTACAACAAGAAAGCAGTGTAGGTACTGAAATCACCAAATTAATGACGAACAAGAAACAAATTCTAAAACTCAAGTTTAGATCTAAATTTAAAACAAATAACGTGGGAGTTCCACAAGGAGGGATAATTGCACCTTTGTTATTTTTAATATATATAAATGACCTCCCCAAAGCTATAATCCATAAATCTGTGCAATTTGCCGATGACACAACAATATCAATAAAATGTAACAATATTAATGATTTACAAGATGAATTAAAACTTTGAGGGGAATAATAAGTTATCTCGATGCAAATGACTTACAAGTAAATTTGAACAAGACAAAATGTATGACATTTAGATCTTATAATACAACTCCAATACAATTAGGTATTCATTTTAATGACACTACACAAGAGGAAGTTGACAGTATAACATTTTTAGGAATCATAATCGACAATTATTTAAATTGTAAAAATCATATAAATGAAATTTGTAATAAATTGGATAGGCACGTCTTTGTATATGTATTGAGAAAGATAAGACAAACATTCGACGCGGCCCTGGCAGCCTACCATGGATATATATCTTCTGTTTTGCGAGATTGTTTGATAATATGGTGTAGTTCCTCAGAATTTGACAGAACTTTTAGGTTACAGGTTGAGAAATGCATTCGAGCTGTACGTAATGCTGGATACCTGGAAAACTGTAAACCATTATTTAAGAAATTAAATGTACTTCCATTGCCTTCTATGTAAATTCGGGATTCCTTTTGCTTTGTAAAACAATACCCCCGGTACTTTAAATTGTATTCTGAAGCTTCTAATAGGAGATTAAGGGCACAATACAAAAACTTACTCCATCAGCCCCCCTTATATTATTTATGTCATAAATATATATATAAGAAAAATTCTTACAATATGTGCATATATCTATATAACAGATCAGAGATCACAATTTAAAAGAATTAACGAACACTAATAAATTTAAAAGTAATTTGACGGGATGGTTGAGTGAAAGGTGTTTTTTATAGTATTAAGAAATATGTAGAATGGGATCGATAGTATTTAACACATTTTAAATGTATTTTATTTAGTCTTGTAATACTATTATTATAAATTGACATTTTGCACGTCTGCTTGCAGACTGCATACATTGTTATCTAATTAATTTAAGAACTTGTGTAGTGTGTATTCATGCAAATAAAGAATTTGATTTGACTTGATAATTATTATCGCAAAAAAGCTCTACTTTCACTAAAAGACCAAAAAAGGTTTGTTTTACGATATACACGCAATCAAACCCAGGACCTGTCTGTGTTTTGTGATAGGATTCAATATATTCGTTGAAATATACATACATATGTAATTTACAACAATGCATCAACCTATATTTTATTTCAAATTTTATAAATGTTTTTGTGCAAGTGTTATCATTCTTTGTAAGTTTTTGTAATCAGAAAGCTTTTTAACTATAACACGAAGTAAATGTATAAGCTTTTAAGTGTAGTCTTTTTAATTTTAAGCTTTTATGATTATAAGAGGTGAAATTTACCATTTAATATTTTCCTAAAGCAGATAAAATCTTACTTTTTGAGCATAAGAATCATTGACATACAATTATTGAATTATACTGGCTTGTTGTTTATTTTTGCTGGATATTAACAGTGAGAAAATAATTTCAATCATACAAAAACTGCGTCTATAAGTAATACCTTCTGTGTCGATTGGGTTTTGAGCTTCCGGCAAGTACTTCATGTACGGCGAAAGTTCGGCCGATGCTTTTTTCAGTACGCGAAATAAGTTCTATTTTGAAATATTATAAGCATGTATGGTGCAGATGTCGTTGCCAACTGGTTAAAAATATCCGTTCAATTGGGTGGCTAGTCATTTGATTGCATGGCACCATTCAATCAATTGAGTGGCCTTAAATTTCTAACCTATCACGTGACCTACAGGACCAAAATAAATTAGTTTTTTATAATTTTATGCTGTTATTAACTATTATAGCACCAAATTTCGACATCGTTATAAACATACTAAAACAACAGCAGTCAAATATTTTGCTTACAATCTTTTCGATAGATGGGGCTGTGGCCGTCTGAATTGTATCAGCATTAAGAGTTTATTATGAAAGTTTAAGCTTAACTCACTTACGTGTGGACTAATGAGTGTGTACGTTAGCTCCTGTATTGGATCACACGGACAATTAACACCCAGACGCGAATAAGTAGTTTGTTATTATCTTTTTGATCAGTCCTGTATCTGTATTGATTATAGTTCGTAACAAGGAGTTTTGGAGTTATAAATAAAATCACTCACTAAAATATTTAATTTGTTTTACTTCTAGTCCTATCGATAAATTTCAGTGTTTCTAATGAATTGACAGTTAATTAAGTAGTTGACTCAACTCTGTTCAGCCGTAGTGTAGAACTTTGCGTTCAGCTACTCGGTTGATCGAAAGTCAGCCTGTTAATAAAATGGCGCCATTCAATTAAAAGGCTAGCCACCCAATTGGTCGACTAATTATACCACTTGGATGCGACAGAGACGGCAATTATTAGCCATGTCATCTTTTTGGATCTCTCTTTGACCGCTTGTAATTTTTATATTAATAGCTTTGTCTTTCATTATTACAAATGAAATGGAATTCCACTATAACATTCGCAAATTTGCGAGGCCTTTGTGATAATGTCGATGTTTTCTTCCGAGTAAGCCGATTTTCCCTGATATCGACCTCTAACATCACAACAACCGCCGCATGTGACCCTTATATCGGCATACTATTTCAAAGGAGAATTTAGATAAATAAAACTACAAAAGAAATAAAATATTAGACTTAAAATTTTCTTAATTTATTTCTTCTTACTTTAAATCTTCTTTACGCCTCTATCGAAGATATGAAAATAATAAAGATCATATTGAATCAATGTAAATAAAGAAAAGAACTACGAATCTAATTATTGTAAAAAAATAACTAATTAAATCAACCGAAAACTCAACGTTACGCATAGGATTTTAAAATTTATTATTATTAACTTAACGTTCAAATGTTGGGGTACCCACATCAGGATATGGCCTTTCATATCTTGGTGTGCCACTTTTTGCGTAAAAACAATTATATTTTTACAATTATGTTTCATTTTCTCAAAACGGCCGATATTAGGCGGTGGCCGATACTAGGAGACGCCACTCTAGTCGGCAATGTAACAATAATACAGGAATCCGTTTGAATCTTCTTTGGTACAATACAGGCGGAGTTCATGCAAAGAAAACAGTTGTTCGTGCTTAAAGCGATGGTGTAAACGAGTTCGTGTCGGTGTTCTCGTGGTAGTAGGCAGGTGCAGGGTGCCTGGGTGAGCTTCGCCCCTTGTCGGTCGGAGCTTCGGCGGGGCGCGGCGGGAGTGTATCAGTGCCTTAGCAGGCGCGGTCGAGCACGCACGCCTGTAGATATGCGCTCCGGCCCGCGCCGATGACACACTGACACTGAGTGCAACACTGACTGACTCCACCACACCACCATCGCCATGGGTTGTACCAGGGAGGTGTGCACCGCTGACAAGACATTTATATTCATCAACATCGCCTTCGCTGTGAGTTCACAATTCATTATTCGACCGTATAGAAAATTTCCAAGGAATTCTTCATAAATATTAACTCGTAATAAGAAGCTTTATTAAATTCCCAAACTATGTGACTTAAAAACCTCATAAACTATAGAGACTTCGAGAAAATTTATTATTATTCTTAAGACGATGGTTTGTAGAGACGTTCTGTTTACTTGAGATAAGAATGAAAACATACTGGACGGCACTGATAACGCAACTCATACTTGCAGCGATAGCTTAATTTGGCGATGAATAAAAGTTCAAATAGATTATTTTTTCTATTTCTTAATGTTCTATTTGTAGCGGCCGGGCTTGTTGGGACGGATAAAAAATAGGGTCCTATCGTCACTACCTGCTCGACTGTAAATAGGAACATGCTTAATATGTATAACTGTACGTAGGTATTAGAATACCGCGATGGAATCTGATTATCTACTGGAATTAGGTCATGTTATCAGGCGCGTCACATTTCAATACACTGTCTGGATACAATCTCATATACATAGAAATTGGTCATTACCATTTTATAACAGAGATCGCATGTATCTATAGTTCTTAGTTCCTTTTGTACTTTACCAAGAATTACACTCAATGGGAATTTTTGTTTTGCACATGATTTAAGTGTAAAATCCAGAAACGAGCTCATAATGAGGAAACTTATAATGAGGAACCGTCGCTTAACAAAACTCATATGTATACACATACATAGCTTTGTATGTAGCTACCATAGCTAGGTATGACTTCCATTAAAGTTTTAAAAATTTCAACTACTTTATTGTGTTTATTACAAGCGATCGTCTGAGTCCAGTCGAGATCCTATATCACGTATGCACATCCAGAATGCATTCTCAGAAATGTAGAAGCCATTGTTGGTGTAACGCATGGCCCCGGAGGTGCCCGACTGGTCTCCACCACCCGCCGCCGTCCTGCATGCGTTCAGAAACTCTATTTATGAATCGCTCGTCTCGCGTCGAGCGCTAGTTTTCTACTGATTTTTGTTCGAATTAACAAATTTGCCATTTCTAATTCGCTCGACTGCAACGAGTGTTATGTACCAATCGTCGTTTACCGAACGCCGATGCAAGTCATACAATAAACGTCAAAACATTAAATAAATCAATGACGTCTACGGACGTTGTTAAAAATATTTTCTATACCATACGAAAAACTGAATTCAATATTTCGAATCATATTGGTCACCCCGCAGATGAACCATTCGAAAATGCTAAAAAACGGCGTCATGCGACTTAGAAATCGAGCGTTACTTAGGTCGTATACTGCAAAGAGGTTTTAAACGAGTGAATCAAAAATAGAGCTCCAGGTGCATTACACAAGGTTTTGTGGTCCCACTCGACCGTGCACGAACACCACAGATTCCGTTGCTGTAACCACTTATTTGTATAATTATTTCCGCAGCAATTCTTCAATTTGTTCTTACTTCCAGTGAGTCACTTTTTCTAAGACAGTCATTGGCTTATAGATGATTTTATTATTGTTATAATACGTACTAATTTGGTAACGACATGATCTATGTAAATGTCATCACTTACGATAAAGAGGTGATAAGTTTCTTTCGCTTGTTCTTCTCGTCAGCTCAAAGACGTCCTGAACAAGTGGTAGGGGAAAAAATATTTTTTTGACTAATCAAAAGTGCCTGAAAGCTTACTTTAATAAAGACATTTTCTATGACAATAAAGATATGGTATTATTTTAAAATCGCTCAATGGGATGATAAAATTTAATATAAAATATTTGGTTAAGATTCCCCCGATTTGTGGGATTTGATCAATATATAAATCTTTGATTTACAGGCATGCTTATCTGTAATCAAAGGTATAAATACCTATAGCTCTCTCTTATCACACAGCGATATTTTTTTATCCTTTTCAAGATACAAGAGAGATTCTTTATAGATATTGCTACGACTTCCCAATTAAGGCTTGGCGTAAAGTTCAAAGAGGAAACAAAATGAACACAAAGCGCGAGTCAATGAATTAAATAAGGATAGAGAATGCGCCCAAAACAATTTTATTTGCAAAAAATATCATTGGGCGCGCAAATCACTCGCCCTCGACAGTTTTTTTCATCATACTTTCATCATTTTTCATTAATATTGATGAACACGGAAAGTGTAAAGGGTCCAAAACGTCATGAAATCAAATGTAAACGCGCTACACCCCTTCTAGATAGAACAGAAAATTCTTTATTGTTGACATTAAACAAAGTTACATTTACAAATTTTATGGATAGTTTTATTTAATGAATAGGGCGTGTGGAAATATAAGAAATAAATAAAAAATTTAGAGAAAATTTAATAAATATACGTTTTGACTGTGATAAAATCCTTACAATCTATACTATTATTTTAATTAGGAAAGATTTGATCGTTTAGTCGAATCCAATAGGCTCTAGTGAACCGACTTTAATTTCATTTTTCACCTCCGGGAATCTACATCGTATGCGGGTGACATAGGCTGTAATTTACGCTGGCGAAGTCGCGAAAATGTTCTATAAATCTGTTCTATAAACACGGAGTTACATTGACTACTTTTTGATGCACCCTTAAAGCTGTACAGCATTCCCGCGGGGTGCTGGCGATAATGAACGAGCGCGGCCGAACGCCGTCTCTACATTTACCTGATTGATAAAATCATGTGAGACGTGTTTTTGTTAGACACGCATTTTAATTGGTGATCGAAGTCAAACATTATTGAGCGGTGTAACGTGATCTGATACCGGTTTCTGTACACTCGTCCACAGTCCGCAGCCTCCGGCGTGTTGGCAGGGTCACTGTCAGGGGTGCGATGATGCCACCATTATCTTGTAATAAAATAAACAATCGTATTGCTGAATTACGCTGCATTTCAATATTATACAAAGAACTTTATCGCTCGAGATAAATCAATCTCTCTTGAGTAATCGATATGATATCGCGTGAGTAATATTTCTAACAGATAACTGTAGCATGTTGCAGCTGGTGTGGTCGGAATGACATAACATGACAGATATTCAATGTGTGACGCGTCTATCGATCCACATAAAGAAAAGAGCACGAAATAAAGTCATTGTGTAGAGTACAGTATATTATTGTCCTAATTTGTCGAACCGAAAATACTAAGTTTCAAAACTCACATTATTTTTTTTTGAGAATGTTAGTTTTTATAAAATATTAGGAGGCACGTAGATAATCTGTTCTGTAATAATATATAGTTATAAATCTACGTTTTCTTCAATTTTCCGGGCAATCATTAAAAATGTTCTTTAGGTACATATAAACGTTATACTCGCTCTTATTATTCGGTTGGCCTCTATCTATTTACTGTTCGATCCAAGATCACCGGTAGGTTCTACTATTTATAATGTAAATACAATATACCTAGTATAATATTGCACAACACAACTATGTCAATGTAGTTAACCTCAGTCTCTTTCATGTGATCACTGTCAATTGAATACTGACCTTTAACCGAACATGATTTCAATACAGATACATTATATTCTCGTACTAATTCCTCACTAAGGATCCTTTGTAGGGTTCCGTAGCCAAAAGGTAAAACGGGAACACTATTACTTAGACTTCGCTGTCTATGTGTCTGTCATTTGTAATAGACATTTGGAAATTTCACAGATGATGTATTTGTTGCCGCTATAAAAAACAAATACTAAAAAACAGAATGAAATAAATATTGAATTAGGGCTCCCGTACAATAAATGTGATTTTTTGCATTTTTTTACAGACAATGGTACCGAACCTTTCGTGCGCGATTCCGTCTCGCACTTGGTCGGTTTTTATTATACAGTCAGAGTCTGTTTTGTACCTCTTAGCACGAATTTGATAATTCAAGAGAACAGGAAGATGTTTTATTATAGTATTGGTATGCGATAAATAATAAAAAGGACCATGGCTAATTCCTATAGAATTAAAATATATATATATATTTTTAGTTTCGAAGGCAACAATCACTCCTTTGTTAAGAACCTTACACTCAAACGAAAGTTAAAAGCGAATGACAATTTAATAAGTATTGTTTGTGGTAAAATATCAGTGTTCAAAGGTTAGTGGGCGCTATATTGCAGAATTAGAAGAAAATCATTTTAAAATTATTTCACGTTGCCTTACTAAATAATGAATTGTTCCCGATGATGCTGATGATGTATAAAAAGTTTTGTTACAAACTGAGTACGTAACTTATGTGATTATTCACGTGTTTTGTTTTATCGAATGAACGTGTATTGTGACGTCAGTAATATTTTATGTTTAGTAACATATTTTATTTACACAACGTTTTATAAGAAATAATTAATTGAATAAAACAAAGTTGACCACGTTGGATACAGCGACACACACAATGATTCTAATACGTAATACATTATTATGACACATAATATTTTCCGCAGTAATAGGTAGGAAACTTGAATTTAAGTTTATTATTTTATAGATAGACAGGTTAGGAATATATAAGGTGTAATATTATTATATGCCATCACTTCGTGTCGCTTCTAGAATTCAGTGTTGCTCCAATAGTAAAAGTTGTTCAGTATAACTAATCCACCCCACGAAATCCTGACATATAATAATATTACACCTTATATTTAGAAAGAAACTCAGTAAACAGAACAGTCTGCGGATAAGCATAATATACTCGTAATATCCATTATATCCGTGTTCCGATGAGATTGCCAGTAATTTTGATAATATCTGTTTTCCGTTCAGATAAAATATAATCAAACTTCAAAATATATATAGTGAATTTCATTATTTCAATGTAATATCTGTGCGATACGTATAATGAGTAATCTGATATTATAATTATGTTGATGTTTTGAATACGATAAAGTATATTGTAAGGTCTACTGACCCCCGGCCATCCCCCGGCCGCCCGCACCTCACATGTACTAAGTCGCATACTAGTTAAGAGATATCAACTCTAAACAATCTAGCTGACAGTAGCCCTAGACCCTATCGGTGAACTATCGTATGACAT